TAATATGTCTCACCTTGTCAGTCAAACCTTTTCTGGATGAGGTGAGGAAGACGGTGGATGATGATAATGATGAAATTTAACACCTCAAGCATTGGAGGCACGTTGAACAGCCACACCATAGTTTTTAATGTAAAATCAGCAGTGTCTCGTCCTATTCCGTCCCCAAAGTGAACAAATCCCAACTAATGCTTCCTGAAAACAATCGTCTATGTGTTATATTATATAACATGATATATTCTATACTTAAACATCAACAGGGTTTGTTTAAACTAACAATTAGGCTTTAACATTATGCAGGATCTGCTAGCTAGAAGCTAGATGGCTATAGTAGCAGCTGAACCTAGCTAGCTAGCTAAAATCTAAATAATGGATAACTGCATAAGCTAATACGTCACTAAGCTTAGTCATAGTAAGAAATTATAACAAATATGTAGCCTACTGACGGTAATACAAATATATGCAGTAGCGCTTGTTTAGCTTAGCGATACTACACCAAAGTCTGGAGTGTTGTTGGTCAGTTTGCACCACGGTTACCTTATCACACATTACAATACTGTAATATATTCAGATGTGTTGTGGGTCAGACCGTTACTCAGCCACACCATAGTTTTCAATGTAAAATCAACAGTGTCTCGTCCTTTTCCACCCCCAAGATGAACAAATCACAACCGAGGCATCTGTATTTATGAGAATAAAAGTTCCTATTTAATCACATATTACAATACTGTATAAAATAAATTAAGATGTCAAACCTTTTCTGGATGAGGTGAGCAAGACGGTGGATGTTGATGAAATTATATATATTTAAACATCAACAGGGTTTATTAAATTAACCTTTAACGTTAAGTATCTGCAAGCTAGCTGCTGGATGGCTATGCTAATAGCTGAACCTAGCTAGCTAAATCATGGATAACTGCATAAGCTAATACGGCACTAAGCTTAGTCATAGTTAGAAATGATAGCAAATATATATATAGCCTACTGACGATAATACAAATATATGAAGCAGACCTCGTTTAGCTTAGCGATGCTACACCAAAGTCTGGAGTGTTGTTGGTCAGTTTGCACCTTCGAGCTCAAATTGTGACACAGCTGGACAGGAAACAGCACGTGGTCCTATATAGCGCCCTCTAGTGTTTACATACAAATCAAATATGAAGCTTTTACTTCCGCATCGAAGCTACTTACATTTTATGAACAATCCAATAACTGCTGTTGATTTCCAGTCCTAAGTAAGGACGTTATGAGTAAAAACTTAAGAGTAAGGACACAAGGAAAAATATGAATGGAATAAAAACATATAGCTACAGTTTAAAAACAAGAAAATATATGTAGTGTGTGAATATGTACAGTGAATGGATTGCACATGAACCATTGTATAGTACAGACAGACAGAAAGAATATCACACAGTTGAAAAGTGAACCTAAATTTCAAGAGCAGTCCATAATGGGTGCATGTAGTTATACTATAAGTACTACTATAAATAAGTAAGTACTACTATAAATAAAATATATCTCAAATCTATCATTAAGAATCACTTTATATCGGCCATTTCAAATGTATCCATTACAAAATGCTTCACAAAGGAAAAAATAAAGAAAACAATGAAGACCCATGACAAAGACAATAAATGAAATGTGGATTTTAAGCACAATGGTTTATTTCACAATAAGGGCACATATCCTTAATATGTTTTTTTGTTGAAAGTTATTTCATTTTCTGGATGTTTTCCGGGTCAAGTCCTGGCCCACTTCTTATTCTCAGTGCATTGGTGAATTTACTGACTCCAGAGCTGGAATATAAAGATTTAATGATATGGGTGGATTGATTTTTAAAAACAGGTACAGTAGTGCAACACAGCTTAAAGATAAATATTACAATAACACAAACAAGAGGTATTCACTGATCAGGTACAGTCAGTACAACGCTAAAGTAATCTCGATGAAAGGAGTGAAAGAGTCAAATAATTAGAGCCTTTTCAATTAACTGTGATTTAAAAATAAACGTTGTCAGTGAATGAGGAGATTTCAGCTGAGTGACTCCTCTGTCACTTTGGAGTCTCAGTGAGTCCGTGTTTGTCCTTCAGTTAAACAACTGCCGATCTCTCAACAGCTGAACGCAGAACAACGGCTTTAAACACAACCGGGCGGGGAGATTAAAGAAGTGGGTTTATGAACTGCAGCTCAGATCAGCAGGCCGTGCCACCTTGCGACAGGCTGGCGGACTGAGCGCATCATCCAGTTCCAGTGCTCGTCTTCCGTAGTCCTCTCCTTCCCCACCGTCAACTGTCCTATCAGATGTTTGGGTGATTTCCAGGTCGTGTGAGTCTCATACACGTAGATCATGATTTTACACTGCACCACAGGAAACTCGGGCAGTGAGTACATGAGCACCTCGTTGAAGACGCTAACCCGGCACCGGGCCACCACCGAGGTTTTCTGCGACCTGAGCTTGCACTGATTACACTGGACACTGATCCTGACGTACAGAGCTGCACAAAAACAAGAACGGCAAATCAGTAACTCTATACGTTCCACTGTGTGTGTATGGCTGCTAATGGTTTTCTATTTGGCAAGATGTTTGTTATTTACCAGAATCTGAGCATGTCTCAGTGGGGGCCGTTCTGACCTTTAGCAGACCAACCTCAAGCCTCTGAGAAGTGGGAAGAAACTTCAGTGACAGCAGCACTTCACCGACACGATCCTGTCCAGAGGGAGAGGATCAACACTTCATAAACCTCGCATGTGATTCAAAAGACAGATTCGGCCTCTTTCTCTGGCTTCTGCTTCGGTTAAGGATTTGTTTCTTTTCCCCTCTTATTCCTTTTCTTTCATTTCTTTCAGTTTCCTTTTATATAGGGGGTTTAATTGGTGAAGGTAACAATGTTCACAAATACACACAAAAGAGCAAAAAGAAAACTTAAATCGATATCAAGAAAACAAATGCATAATATATCATAACACAATCACAGCAAACCTTCCATTCCATCAAATACTGACTTTTAAAGTTGCATTTAAATCAAGTTAGTCTCTTGAGTAAAACAACGATAATCATATAATGAGGGAAATTGTATATACAACACATCCTCATTCTAAGTTTCGGAAATTACTTTATTTTATTTAACATTGTCTACAGTACTCATTGAAGTGTAAGAAAAGCCTTTCCCCCTCCACTAAAGGGTGAGAACAACTTACCCATGAGATTACAAATGTGTTTGTGCAGTTTTACGTAACATGCTGCTGTACCTTCTGGGGAATCTGCAGATCCTCGTGCAGCTCCAGAGGGTAGGACACGTTGAGCTGCCCGAGAGGAACCCTCACCTCTCCCAACACTGTGTGTCTGGAGAATTTATCAAAGTTCCACACCTGAGAATCACAGAGATACAGGACAGACTCTTTACTTATAGAATCAAGCAGTAAGAAAACACATTCCCTTTTCTCACATGACTACTCTGTCAATTCTGCAATGACTGCAGTACTTAGAGCTTCTAATCCTTGTGAATGTGCAGCATGACAGCGAAGATGTAATCTGCAACTCGTTTCATTCATTTGAAATTTAAAAATGTATTGCTAGTGCAGGTTCAAAGTAAATAGTATTATGTCTATGATAGAATAAGATTTTAGAGTTACTGAGAGTGAGAAGGTTTTACTGCAGGACCTCCATCCTGAGGTTGACGTGATGAAGTGCGTCTTTGTCCTGTTGCAGAACGCAGCTGAACTGATCTCCATATAAAGGGTTACAGCTGTCTTTCACAATGCGAGTCTGCCACTCCTGCAGCACTGTCCACAGAGCAGGAGACGTCCCCTCACCCTACGAGGAGCACAGAGAGTAACTATAACCTTTATATGGTGCAGAGACGCTGCAGGACTGACAGACAATCTGACACATTTTTGAACGATAAACATGATTAAAAAAAAAAGAAGATTCTTCTATTGTGACCTTCAATCTAAGTTTTGCAGTTATTCTTATTAGTTTAAAACACAAATAGGGTCTGAAAAGCACGAAAAGAAAACAAGAAGCTATTTATGCCAGAGTCACTTCTGTTTGTGATAACCACCTCCTCGCCCCTGCAGCCCTTCACGTCCGCTCCCTCTGATCCTGCCCACATGAGTCGCAGTTTAACAAATGGCCGGAGGCAGCAAGTCTGGCTGAGCTCCTGAAGCCCCTCCACCTGCAGGACGGTGACCACCAGACGGGACTGCGGCTGGTCGTAGTAGAGGGAGAACCGTAGCGATCCATCCACCTGTCGCAAGAACTCGTGTTAGGGAATACAGCCAGCACCTTCCGTTGATACTGCTCAAAATCTGCTCTTTCCTTCAGGGATTAATTTCTGTTAATCTTAATATAAATGGATTAAATGGAGGTTTTCAAAATTCTGAATAGTTCCCAGACAACTATTGATTTGCATAAAACTTTGTCCCGACATTTCTAGTTTTCAGAGGATGAATCCTAATGATGATAAATATATTGTAAGTATGAGCTGGGATGCAGACGAGGGCTTGAAGTGTCGTGTTTATCTGTACACAAGGAATGTGTAGAAAAGATAACCCCGAATCTTCTAGCGCCACCATGAGGTTGACATATATGGTTCAGAGTGAAATATTACTATTATAATTGGTCCATGACGAATCAATGAGTTTTAGTTGCTTCTGTCTGGCTGTAGACTCAATTTTCCAAGATACAGATGTAAAAAGTAATTTAACTTGTTTTAAAAGTCTCAGTGTGATGTACTGTTGATGTATTTAATTTCATTAATGTGCTTTGACCGTATGTGGTTACTGCTGGCTGCACAGGATAATAAAGATATCTTAAACCTTGAAGTTACTGGGTGGATTGCCATGAAATTTGCTTCAAATATTTAAGCTTAAATTTAAGTTACGGATTATACAGAAATGTCTGTCACCTTCTTAACGTTGAGCTGCTCTCCCTCGTCTCCCTCCGCCTGGCTGGATCCTGAGGTCTGAGGCAAACAACGACTCAGCCTGTGAACCTCAGTGCTGACGTCCTCCACCTGGACAGGACGCACACATGCATCAGTGGTGTTATAATCGACTGCAGCCCCTCCAGCTGTAATCTGACAGAACAAGTCACATCTCTCCGGTGTTTGAACAAGTCTGCTCATTAATCTTTATGCACATAAACCCGGTTTTCCGCTTGAGGCCTCTTCACAGAGCCCCACCGATGGATCAGTTGGTTGATAATATCGGCCAAACTATATAATGCAACTTTTTACAATCAAATGCAATTAACCACGACATTACATCTTTTTCTTAATAAAAACATTATTAACTTAATAGCAAACCTGGGAGCCAAAACTTAGAACATAAAGTTTTCATGTTGAAAGAAAGAAAGTAGTAGTTAAAAGATCTCGAAATATCTTCACATGACTGAATATAACAAAAAACCCATTGGTTCTTTTGATTTGTGGAAAGATTGAGAATTTAATTTGGATCCACGCAAAATTACAAACATTGTTTTATGTTAATCATATATTTTTCATCAAAATCAATGAGTTACTTTAAGAAGTCTGTGAATATGGAAAAGAAAAATGTTAAAGAAAGTGAATAAAGTTTAGATTTAATCTCCACCTCCTTCGCTCACCTGCATAATTGGAGCTCCTGAGCACTCCCCTGCTGTTGTTGACTTTTGATCCGAGTCCAGCTCATCACTGTTCCCTAGAGTCAAAATCATTATTAACTGGTCAGACACGACAGGCATCATCAACCTGTGCTGTTCAGTCTGGTTCTGTGGCCCTATCCCCACTCACCTGTGTCTTGCTGGGTGTGTGTGGTGTGTTTGTTGGTGCAGCATCTGAAGGTCTGCCAGGCCAGGAGGCCCAGGGCCAGCAGGAGTAGAGTCACGGAGACGCCCAGGATGATGTACTTGACTGTGTCTGAGAACGGCATCTGCAGCTCTGCAGCAGCCGAGAGCTGCTCGACAGGAGCTGGACGGTCCATCGGAGTGACCGTGACTCTCTGCCTCCATGTGGCCAATACACACATCTGCAACTCAGGAACACAGGTGAGGGGTTGTGGACCCTCTGATGGCAGCAGTGGAGCGTCCACAATATCAGCATTACACGATTTTTGTTTGTTGCCTAAAGTGAAACCAATGGATGATGATGATAGTGACCATTAATTGTTCACTCCGAGAAGTAGGAGTGAAGAACAGTGACAGTATTTGAATTAGCGAGCAGATTAACATCCGCATTACGTAGGAATTCTAACTCTGGTCGAGGTCACACTCAAAATATTCAAACAGCAGCTTCATCAAAATAGGATTGAGGGTTGAGTGAGTGTGAATAACTTTGGTGAGTGGGTTCGATCTCCTGTGAGAAGCGAGGAACTGACTTGAGAGTCACAGCTTCAATGGTAGGAATCAACTCCAGAAGAGTAAAGATCGGTTAAAAAGACTTAGAAGTTAATAAAAACCAGAGTTTATCTCCAATATTCAGAAGGAAACTTTTAAAATATGAAGAATTCTAAACAGAGTTTGGTGGATTTGTTACAGCAGCAGAAACTGAACAATTTCTAAAAACGTGAAGTGGAACTTAAAGTCATTATAAACAGATTTAACTGTGGGTTTTGTGACACATAAGAACATTGAAAGATGTCAGCTTGGGCACAGGGAAGCTGACAGACACTTCACAGGCTTTAAACAAGGAGTGGAGTGGTTATACAAAATACATAGATAAAAAGAAAGGCACAGTGGTAAATAGGCAAAGCAGACCAACACCACTGCCAAAGATAGGGAGCTATTCACAGGAGTCAGTGATGATGGATTATTATGTGAGCAGGTCTTAGGATGAAGTAAAGTGGTTCACCTGAGGGTTGGTAGTAGAGTCATTAATATCTCCAATCAGAAACTGTTGTGCCGGTCCTGCTCACACCTGATATGATCAACCCTGCAAAGGGAAATCTACAGAGGAGTAGCTTTAAATAAAGAAACGTGGATGAGCTCAAAACCTATTTAAGAGATGTTTTTCATAAGTGAACGAACACATGATGACATTAAAAACAGATAAACATTTACCTGAGCTGCATAATGAACCTTCAGCAATCTTCCTCTTCAGGCAAGCACATATTCTCCTGTGCTATAAATCCAGGCTCTTAATCTTTCACTAACACTTCAGAACTTTTCTGCAAGAGAAACACGTCTAACTGTTCTGCAGCTCTACGCACACGCTCCTCTCTACACACACACACAGCACAAGACTTCCTGCACACCATTCAGAGCAAACTGGTTTGATTAGATTTGAATATTTGAGGGAGCCTCACATGACCTGATCACCGGCTCTCGTCCTCTTAAAGACTCAGAAAACACCCAATATAAAACCTATTTTGCATTATTGCACTAATGGGTGTGTATATGATAAACCATGTATTTACCATTACCACAGGCACTGCTGCCTCTTACACTGAACCTGCCTTAAAGCAACACTATGCAACTCTTTCACCTTAAAGCAACGGCTTCAAAATCAATTTGATGGTAAATAGATTTGGAATATGGAGAACATTTGCTCTCCTCCACTCCTCGCCCTGAAAGTCTGTTTTATGTCACTCTGTTGAGTCCAAAGCAGGTCCGGCAAGTTAAAGGGTAAAGCTTCTATAAGTTTTTTATTAAAAAACCAGAGTTTATCTCCAATATTCAGCAGAGAAACTTTTAAAATATGAAGAATTCTAAACAGAGTTTGGTGGATTTGTTACAGCCACAGCTCTTCTGGCTCAGGAAGCAGAGGATCATGGGTAATTTCCAGCGCTCAGTTGTGTTTAGTTCAGTGAGCGGGACGACACAGTCAGAGCTCAACACTTTGACAGAATTCGTTTTTCCTCTACATGAAAACCACTTCATCGCTTTGTCAACTGAATTAATCCCCATGTGCGGCTGCAGAGGGCGCTGTTGCTCAGTATTGCTTTAATTTTGGGTTTCATTTCAATTTCCACAACATTTCTGAGCAAACACATTCTGTAAGTTTGACACATGAGCTGTATGATGTTGTCTGCGTTGAGGTCTGATGAATTCAGTATTCTCTAAGTCGCTCTGCTCTATCGTCTCACTATAACCAAAGCAGCAGGTGTTGTAAAGCGATGTTAACGCACACTCAGTTCTCGTCCGTCAGCTTCAGACTCTAAAGGTCATTTGTGCTAAAAGCTTTTCATTGTCATCTTTATCTTTCAGACTCTGAGGAGCTGCCTTCACCAGATCACATCATGACAATGCACCTTGCTGAAAGACAAAGTATTACGTTCACTAAACTTTCCACTGCGAGAATAAGGAGGTCAAACATTTTGAAAAGAAACTTCCTGGTTTGTGCTGAAGAATATACTCACAGATTTATTTGTATTTCAGGTTTCAGAACACAAGGGCCTCACGTGATTAAAAATAGGAAAACTTAGTAAGACTGTAAGAATAAGAATTTTCTTAAATGCTAGTAAATGCTGTTTTTCAGATGCAGGTATGTTCTCTACTGAGTTACATTCTAGTAAATAGAAATACTGGAGCCCATGACAACAGGAGTTTATTTAGAGCTCCAAACTTTTATTAAGCATGTTAATTTTGTGGCAGTTTTCACATCAATGAGTCATAACATTTTATTTACTGGACACTGTGCGTTTCGAGAATCGTTACAGCCCTAACGGACACGAACCCTCTCATTATTAACCATACGAGATTTCCTCCAGCAGATGGAGCCGGATTAAAGAAAAACTCTGAGGTAACAGATTTATCTTTTCATAGCTGAAGATGATCTAAACTGACTCAATAGCCCAAAGTTAATAGAGCTCATAATCATCACACTCGTTACTGGTGATATTCACTTTTACCAGGGCAGCACCTTTCCAGTAAAGTCCAGAAACGACCCATGATCCTTTTCACTCAGGCCACCAATCACAGACAGCATGGAGGTAACGCTCTCCTCTGGACTCAATGTAGCCTGGAAACAAAAGAATAAACAATGATGTGTATATACACGTTCACCACCAAGCTCTTGAATATTTGTAATGTTAAGGACAATTTTCACATTGAATTATGTTGTAACAGCTGGAATATATCGGTGATTTTAATTATCACTTATCTAAATAAGTAAATATTTTACAAGTATTCACACAGAGCTGGTTTTTGAAAATGGGCCTAGTTCAAATAACTTAAGGAGTGTTAAGAAAAACTTTGTTCATGTTACTATATTTAGAAATATTTTGGATCAATATGCCATTTGTGTTTATTTAGCAAAGGTTGATTGAATAATAGATTTTTGTATTTTTTTAATGTTTACAACATTCTAGGGAATCTTATTCATCATAGTTAAATGACTTAAATAACCTTTAAGCTTTTCAGATTTTACAGATGTGCAGCATTTGAAGAATTTCATCACAGTAAGAAAAACACCAATGCAGGTACTGACAGAGCTTTTCTACTACAGAGGATGATTTAAACACAGATTTTATTCAGAAGGACTGTGACTGTCTGACTGACTCTTACCTGAGACCCCCCCATGTCAGTGCGGACCCAGCCTGGGTGTATGGCCATACAGAGAATCCCATCAGGCTCCAGGTCTGCAGCCATACAGCGACTCACCATGTTGAGGGCACTCTGAGGAGGCAAACACATCAACTACCACTGAGCATAATGCTCAACTCACTACAGAGCAGTTGAACACCAGGACTGCGTTCGCATTTTACCAGTAACCAGTAGTTTGTAACAATCCGAGGTCTCTTTCTTTAGCCACATCAAACCAGAGTCAACCTACTTCACATGCAAAACCCTATATTTAACTAACTTCACCCATCAAACACGTTTTCCATAAATTGTGACACCACACCTTGGACGTCCTGTAGGGAAACCATTTGATGTTTGCACTCTCCCCCCAGTTGAGCTCCACAGATCCCAGCAGAGACGACATGTTGATGACTGCTGCCCTCTGGATGCTCATGCTCCCCGAGCCGCCTGCTCCTCCTCTGGACGCAGCTTGTTTCAGCAGAGGGAGGAAGGCCTGGGATCAGAGGGGGGGGGGGGAAATAAATATGTTATTTTCTTTATAAAAATTAGATTTGAGACTGAAACACAACACGTGTATAAATATAAAGTTATTAGGAGACAACGACTGGAGCGTTCACTGAGTCAAACACATTACCCTGAGTGGAAACAGACGGTCAGTGTCGCCCCCTAGAGGCAGAGGTTTACACTTTCAGAGAGAAGGGCTGAACTCTCCATACACAGTCACAGTAATATTAATATGAAACTGAAGAATATAAAAAAAGTAGCACCCAACCNTGTTCTATGTATTTGTTTGAATTTTAATTTTATGGTTAAACTGAAGAATATCAAGTCTCAGTTAGAAAAAATTTGCCGTCAGGGTTTAACATCATCTTGGGAATCACTGACAATTTGTCTTTTTGGTTTTTAAATACATATTTCTACCAATATATCAGTATCTGAAATGCTTTACTCCCTACTATCTGCTTCAACCCCCGAAGATCCATATCGTCCCGACTCTAACAGATGCTCAAGTTGACGTCTTCAAACCGATTTGTCAAAACAGTTTGATCAACCAGTGTGAATGTGTTCAAAATATCAAGTACAACATGTTTGTATTGGCAGGTTTCTGTTCCGCGTCATTGTTCGTTGACCTCAGCAGTTTTGCTCCGAGCTCTGTGCTGCAGTGCGGCCTTGTATTTACACACTGTCCTTCCATTGGAACAAAGTGTGTGTCAACAGGCTTCTTGATCAGAGCCTGAGCTTCTACCAGCTCAGGGTGTCGCTCTGTTGTTTGCCCCTGTACTCTGAGGCCGACGCAAACTAGACTTCAGATGAATATTTATGAAATGCAGCCTGTCCTGAGCCGAGGGGTTTTTGTTTCTTCTGTCCATCAGGGTCGTCTTGTTATTTGAGTTTGCCTCCTCCCGGTGGCTGCGGGAAAAAATAGTCTGCTTTCTTACATTTTTCCTTTCTCTCCCGCTATCCGGAACCTTCCAAACAAAACCTTTGTGTGTCACTATACAGCTCATCCACAGCTCCGTCCGTTCTGTGCTGGGGCACAAAGCCTATGAATAAACATTACCTTGGTGATCATTAGAGGAGCCACAGCGTTGGTGTGGAAGTTTTCTATCATCTTGTCGGCAGTAACGGACTGAAAGTCGGCCATCACATTAATCCCTGCATTGTTGATCAGGCAGTTCAGACCCTCGTCTTGCACCAGCCGGCTCACCTCCTCTGCACATTTATCTATGCTCTCCTGGCTCAGAACATCTGGAGAAAGAGACATCAACGCTGGACTTTAGCAAAAAATGAGAACAAAATATTAAGAAAAGTGGAAAATATCACATGAACACTTCACAAACAGGTAATGGTTTATGTAGCTTGAAAAACATGAACAATTTCTATATGATAATAACTTTATTTGTATAGCACTTATCAAAATCTATCCCCAAATCATAACATCATAAGATCAAGACCTTAAACATTATAGAGAAACAACAGTCAGCCGCACTTTGGAGACAGTGGACAGAAAAACACTCCTCAATAACTGGAAGAAATCTCGAGAACCAGACTCAGTGTGGACGACATCTGCCTCGACCGGCCGGTGAGCGGAGAAAACAGAAAAGAGAGGAGAGCTGGGAGGAAAAGAAGAGGAAGGAATAGAGAGAGAGAGAGAGAGAGACCAGCAACCGTTGTGTAACCATCACATTTAAAATAACCATGATCCTCATTTATTCTTAATATTTTTGCTGAGTTCATCAAAATAATCCCACAAATTATATTAATGTTAATAACACGACATTCATTCATTCACATCTATGTGCAGGCGCTTGTGTTGTCTCAGGGTCTTTTGTTATATTTCACATTTATTGTTGCTTTATATGATTTATATGATGTTGAACACACAGAACAATGATTTCCCCTCCGACCCATGTGGTCCAGTCTGGTGTTCTCTCCTTCAAACTTTCTGTGTGTGTGTGTGTGTGTGTGTGTGTGTGTGTGTTACTTGACATAACAACACTTTTTAAAAGTTTGGCTCTTCTCACTGAGCTCCAGGACACTTAACAAACAGCAGCCATGCTCCTCTCTCTTACCCAGAGTGGTGATGTGGATGTTGGGATGTTTCAGAGCCAGATCCTGGAGTTTCTGTGGATCCAGAACAATCCGGTTTCATTCAGTCACAGAGAATAAAAACAGTTTGACACCGGTGGTTACTGTGACTTCATCCCCGGTACATGATGCACCCTCAGCCCGGGCGCAGACCCACGTTTGACCCGGTCTCACAGCCCCACACGCGGCGTGTAGCTGCGGGGATAATCAGTTAGCTTGCTGGGTGTTTACCTGGGCGCCATCGGGGTTTCGGGTCGTGGCTACGATCTTCCCCGGGGAGAAGCCTCCTCCTGCCAGGCTCTCGACTATCTGCAGCCCGATCCCGCGGCTGGCCCCGGTCACCAGCACCGAGCCGCACTGCTTGAACACCGTGGCCCCGCGCATCGCTGACTCTGACTCGGGCTGTGACTAAGTGCTGGAGCCGATGCGGAGGACCGTCTTTTACGCGTCCAGATATTAACCGCGACGGGGCCCTGGACATATCCGCGTGTCCGGCGCGACTCCTCCGGCAGAGGGGAGCATTGTCCCGCTTTACCGATCCGACCCAAGGCCTCTGCACGACGGGGACGGTTCAACAGAGAGAAGGGTCTCAAAGGCACGGTCCTGCTTCCCACAATTCATTGCGCACGACGACGACTACCCCTACTGATACTTCCTAATTGCAAATTCCTAATTGCTAATTGCTTCTTCTTCTTCTTAACATTATAAGTAGTAGTAGCATTATTATTAGTATTAGTAGTTGTAGTAGTATTCGTATTATTAAAAGCAACACATGTCCAAAAGTCTATATCACATAAAAACCCTGCACAACTGTGAAAATAACCCTTTTTAAATGCAGTTATGTTCATTTAGAAATGTGAAACTTCTCTTAAAGGTTCAGTGTGTAGAAGTTAGTGACATCTAGTGGTGAAGTGGGCGACTGTACAAAACACACTCGGGTTAATTTAGATTCAATTTCTGCCAATAGATCAGTTCATCAAAATCTCACACACTGAACCCTTGATAGGTTTTTATTAAGAGGTAGGCTACCTTCAGTTTAATAACTGTTGCTATTCACCTTGGGTTCTTTTTTTTGGTCCTCTTTGTGTGAAAAACATTAGCAATAATAATGTTTTAAAGCCGCTCTCCCCGTACCTTAGATTTTTCTTTCTTTCTATATCATACAGACAATTCCCTATGATTGTAAACTGATCTCAGACCATATCATTTAAAAAATAACGAGGCACCATTATGAAAAGAATCTTTACAAAATGTATTTATATAAATTATTAATCCACTAATATGCAATATGGTAAATTACAGCATAAATCATTTAACCCAACTTTATCACAATGATTGTAGAACAAGTTACATCCTTAAGATGTGGCTCAGGGGGGAGAGAGGGTTGTCCACTGAAGGTTTGGTCGTTCAATGCCTGGCTCCTCCAGTCTGTATCCTAATGTGAATTTGATACTGAACCATACGGCTGTGATGGATGGTGTGTGGCTGGTATCGTAAAGTACTTTGAGTTGTTGATAAGACGAGATAAATACAGCTGTATATATGTCATTGATACAACTAGTACTGCACCAGAATACCTTCCCTTTGCTGTTGTATAGATGATAGTTATTGATTGTTGTTTCTTATAAAAGTAAAATTAGAAGCTGATATTTTCTCCTGATTTGCATAAAGTGTTTATTTCCCCCTTTAATACGAGACTTGACAAAATAAAAGAGGCACGATCCAAGAGGCAAATGTTGACATTATTAAAAGAGATTGGTTTTCCTCGTCCATTCAATATTTATGATTAAACAGTCTGGCTGTCGTGAATTCACTGGGCTCCATTGTTTGTTTTCGCATTGAGTTAGTTTGCAAACACCGAGGCTGAGATGTAGGTGCCGAGATAAAGCTGACAGCACAGCCGACGGAGCTTATGCAGTCACAGCACACAGATGGTTTCTCTGGCAGCCTCCTGAGTCCAGACTCTCTTAAAGCTCCTGGAGCTTGGGAGCAGCAGATATCGCCGGGCTCCTCTGGGGTCACTTCATTTGGAAGTTGGCTTCTATTCCACCATTTACAGACACATTACTTTGGCACACAGCTCACGCTGCAAATGATGAGTTGGTGGTGGTACAATATGTGGTGCAGAGCTGTGCTGGAGCTGGAGGGGGTTCACTGGCGTCCCTGAGCAGACGCAGAGAGGAGGTATTGTCTCGACACAAAATTCAACAATCAGTTAATTGCATACTGTAGATTGCAGTTGGTCTGCCCAGTAATCACAGCGCAGGAGATGATGTTTCTATTTTTATTGTTTATTTCTGCTGCTACTTTTAACATTTACCTGTTTGTGAAAGAGCCCCCGCACACTGTCTAACCTGCAATCACAAACATATTTATAAACTGCTCGTCCCTCTCCTATGCACCGATGGATGTGCCAAGTGTTTTTTAGTTTAACATTTACCTACAAAATCGCTCACAATAAACGCTATAGTTCATCTTCATTGGAGTTCTTGTCTTGTAACACATGTAATACTTTTTGTAACTTTTTTTGTGAATGATGATCAAACCGTGCTCAAAACATTTCATGTTTGTTTCATTTCATATTTCATGCTGTACTGAGGTTCTAGTGTCGTACCTTTGTCTGATGATCCCTTGGCCTATGTGTTTTGTTTTCAAGCAGCTCATTTTTATGTTTGGTGCAAAACCAGATAGCATTTGGAGGTGGGCCACTTCAGGCAATGATGTGGCACTTCTGGCCTCCCTGTGGTTGTGGGCCTAAAGTTGCCAACCTGTAAAATAGAAAATGTGGCCCAAATATAACAAATGTTTTTGGCAAACATGCCGTGCTCTAGTAATCTGGATGTGAACCTACAGTGGCCCATGTGGTAAATGGTGATGTGTGGTAATGCGATGGCGTTCTGGGGGCCCAGGTCTGGCGAACAGGAGCGGACCAACCGAAGGGCCATAGTTCCACACAGTGCAGTATGTAGGCCAGACGACAGTATGATGGTGTCGGCTAAATCTGAGCCCAAACTATTTTGCAAAGTGGGGTCGGTATCTGGAGGACGGATGAATGAAGGTGGAAGCACCTGAGGCCCAGTGCTCTCATCCTGCAACCTATTCTGTCCTGGACTCTCTCCCAGTGGATTTGTAGTTTTTATGTTCATTCATCCAGCATCACACACACACACACACACACACACACACACACACACACACACACACACACACCACATTATTTTATTTGGCTTTAAATAGACAGCTTCTTCTTTGGGCATGGTGATGTGGTGGGGAGCACTGTTGCCTCTGGTTTCTGGTTTGGTTGATCTGTGTGGAGTCTCCAGCTTCACAGTCCAAAGACATGCACGCTGTCCGAAGGTGTGACTGTGAATGTGTGACCAAAAGCTTGTTTGTCACTCTGTGTCACGTATCCTCCGCCTCTTGCCTCGTGTTCGCTGGGATTTGCCCCAGCTCCCCCCACGACCCTGAAATATTAAGGTGGACGGGTGAAGCTTATTATTTGCCATTATCCTGCATCTTTCTCATGCCGACTGCCAACTCAGTAAATGTGATATGATACAAAATAAAGTCAGAGTTAAGGTTTCAGATCCTTCGGGGTAGGAAAGAAGAACATTTCCGTCTAAATGTTTTTATCTGTGTCTGGAACTTAAAGTCACTATTATTTATGTCTGTGCACTTTGTTTATAATTTGAAACGCTCCTGAACTTCATAGAGTGAAACGTGAGAGGAAGGATGGCTGAGCATCGTGACTAAAGAACATAGGGAAATCCCTGATAGCAATGAAATTTCCTGATATACTGAGTAATTTAATCGACTATATATTATTATATTAAAATCAGCAGAATGAAACTACGGCTTATTAAATATTACACAACAAAGACGACAGCTTGAGTCGCGGCAGGAGGTTTTTCTGCACCTAAAAATGGAAGTATTGATCATTTTATAGTACTTCCTTTCCTTCTCCTTTATCCCTTAAGGATTCTCTTTCATATGTTCTTCCTGAATATTATTGGCGTAATAGTGGTAAGAAATAAACACTAACAGCCTCTGGGACTCTGTGAAAGAGTAAAGCCGATTTCTATCTACACGGAAAAGCGGTATTCATTTCTGCAACTATTTCAGTGCTATGGATTTCAAATACAGTGATGTCACTGAAGACACAAGGGCCCGTGCAGGCTTAGTAAAATGACTATGGGCCGCTGTGCTTCATTAAAAAATAAGTATCGGTCAATATTAAATTCAGGCCTTGTTTGTTTAATCGATCTTGCAGCCCTGACACGAGGAACAATTTTAATTAAGGGTTTTAAAAAGGACTCATTTCACAATTTTGGATAATTTTGAGCACCATGTTTCCATTTGGCCTCATTTACCAGTTGTATAAAGAGTTTGTGTCTGTGTTGCACTGAACTGCATTGTGGGTCTTCATTCAGTGCAGGCAATAACATCACCGCCATCAACATCCATTTGCATCTGTGCATGAAAGACAATGAAATTAGGAGATACCTCCTGAAAGTGTCTGGATCAAAGTGTATCTGTTGGTGAAGATGTGCATGTAATTAACAATGAGAATCCACACGCCTGTGTTTACTGTGTGCATGTGCCCAGGTGTGTGGCACACACACAGGAATCTAGGTTGGAACATCCATTTTCAATCATTTATTTAATTCACATGAGCTATATTTAAAGAGATCATAAATAAAACTGCAGGGTTCCTTTCCTCGTTGAATAAATCATGGCAGTCATCCTCTTACATTCATATTCTCTTCTCTCTCTCGCCCCTGTGCAGCCGTTGGGTGCGTAGTTCCAAAACTGCCTCCAATTTTATCCAGTTGATTGTGTTTGCATGCAGAACAGAAACACGATAGCTGGAGTAAAAAAGGAATTCCCCTCCAACACCGAAGCAGAAAGTCTCAGCTTCATGTTGTGCAAAGTGTGCGACTGTGAGGAGGAGCAGGAGGAAAGAATCAAACATCGTTCACCTTCTGAGCTTTTGAATTTCATGCATTTGTTTGCGCTATGGGTTCGGTTTGGTCACATAAAATACACTGAAATGTCCTTGTTGACAATTGTCCAAGTCATCATTCAAGTTTGGACGGAGGACGTTCATCAACACTGACAAATCCCCTGCAAATGAATGACTCAGCACTCAGACGAGTATCGGCTCCGTGAGGCTGTTTCAATGTTCTGAGCTGAATGTCAGTGTCAGCCTGCTAATGGCTTCACAATGACAAACGTTGTGCAGCTGTAGCCTCCTGTTGTTGTTTTGAATGAAGCAAAGTTAAAGTTCCATCAGGGAGACTCTCTACGTCTCACTCACTCACAGTTCTCTTGTACTCTACCCGCCTCTTCTAATCAGCTGATTGTTGGATGTTTACTGTCCAATCATGTCGTTGCTGTCAAACTTGAAATCTTTTCTCCTCTCTCACTCAGTGTTGTTCAATGTGTAGAATTCAGTGACTTCTAGAGGTGAAGTTGCATGTTGCAGCTGAATACCTCCATCCTCCCCTTTGTAGGGAAACCTGTCGTGAACTTCAGTTTAATTTGTCCAGTTTGGACGACAGTAAAAACGTGACCCACCCCTCCATGTAAATATAAAGAACCATTCTATTGAAAGAGAAAAACAACAATTCATACAGTTTAGAAGAAACACAGCTGTGAACACATCGCTAGGATTATTTCATATTCAGTTTCTGCCAAAAATTCCTTTCAACTGAATCTTTAACACTAAAACAGACTCTCATTTATATCAAATCACTTTCATTTCTTAATGGGCATTTAGTTCATTCTGCAAATTATTTCTCTCCTGATTGAAATGTGCTTTATAAATAATATTAACCTTGACTTGAATTGACATGAATCAGCAACATAAATCCTGTTTTTCTTCTTCTTCTTCTTCTTCTTCTTCTTATCGTTATATGTTTTATTTTGTCCCTTCTGTATAATATAGTAAAACTGTATCGCAGACTGTAGTACATAAACATTTGGCAGCATAGGAAAGAATAATATCACACAAAACATACAAATATTCGAGGCCACATTTTTCTAAAGTGCAGTAAACCTCAGTGGAGTGTGTAGTTTTAGTTTGTCACTCCTTTTTGTGCAGAGCTAAATATAGCTAAAGGACAAAGTTCAGCCTGCATCTGTTTGAGAAGTCTGATTTTAAATGTAAATTCTTCTCCCAGGTGGTTGCAGCAGGCAAGTGCTGAGCAAAACTGCTTTCAAGGACTGTCGATGATTCCTGCCGTCTGTGTGTTGCCTTCAGATTCAGACTCTCACTGCGGGGCCACGCAGGTTCAAACCCCCTGTTAATGGTTCGTTCAGAAAACTGCAGCAAGTGAGAATTCTCTGAAGGATCTGTGGAAGTTTGTTTAACTTTCTTTGCTCACGCAGAACACGTGGAGACGTCATGTTGTTAAAGAACGAGGGCGCTGGAGTATCTACACTTGTCCGATCTGGTCAACGACTGCATCTTCAGCGAAACGTTTAATCAGATGTGCCTCCTCTCCAAAACCTATCAGCCGCTCTTTTATTTTAACGATGTGGAGTCGCGAGAAATTATTCACCCACTTTGTTCATGCGTTCATTCAAAGTGCTCCCCTGTTTGAAACTGTGACGCAAACAGCTGAGTCATCGGTGCACTTCCTAAATGACCAGTGATTAAAGATGTCTTGTTGTTGAAGAGAGAGAGAGAGAGAGAGAGAGAGAGAGAGAGAGAGATGGCTGAGCTTCTATTTATTTATCGGTCTGCTTAGACCAGGTCCTCCGAAGGACGCAGCCTCCTACTTGAGACACAGCTTATGTTTGGGCAGCGAGACTAGACTGCTCCTGCTGATGCTGATGAACCAATGCGTCCTTCTGTCCCCGAGAAACGAAGGCTCCCAAGGGTGGATCCATCTTGGGGCAATCTATCCCAGGATTCATTGCGCTTTGTCGATGAGCGGTACACATTAAAAAGACAAACAGGGGGCACAGAAACTTTTTCGTCGTGTCCAACTGCAGCTCTGTTACGAGGGGACAGCGGTGAGGGCAGGACAAGCTGCAGATGCCGACATCCTCTGTAGACCGTTTGTGGTCGAGTACATCGCCGCCGCCCCTGAGTCAGGACACAGCTTGTATTTCTGTGCTGGATTATTATCTTTTCCATGTGTACTTCATGTACATTTTATATTTCATTCTAATTTATATCATTTATCTATTATAAATACAGCTCATATTGTTAAATACATACTGCTGCCTCGGTGATATCTACTCTCCTTGTGCAGCTGCATTACACATAAAGATTTAAATGCTTCTGAATAATTGATGTGGGTTTGCACCCGCTCCACAGTTGGATGGGAGCTTGTGTGCTTGCTGTATTATTCAGATTGCCTTAAAAGCATGTCAACTCAATTACTGGGGTTTTACGAGAAATATCATGTCCTGTCCTACTGTCTTAGGAGAAACAGCTCAGGAGCAGGAAAAACCTCCCACCCTGGATTCAGCTGGAAAAGAGAAAGACTTCCGGTTTCCTGCTGGAATAAAGCCCAAAGTTTTTTGGTTGTCAGTTTGGATCATTGTTAAGTTTACTGCGGGGGCGTTATGTAATAGACTTTCTCCTCATGTTTACAGTGACATTTAAAACTCATGAGATGCCACAACAACAGCAAATGAAATCACCTCTTCAAATAAGACTTTAGAGGTTATCTAAGTTTCTTTTTCCATATTTTTTACATTATTTAACTGATTCTTACCTGTTTAGACTTTTTAAACTTGAAGTTTTGTTGATTCACAGATGACAGGAAAACCAACTGCAATTTTCTAAAATTTATGTCAGCAAGAGCTTTAAATTGGGCTTTTTTCAATTCCACGTCATTCACTCTGAAGACAAAAACTCTAGCACGGCCTCCGTGTGCAGCCTCGCTTGTTTCTTCATTAAGCACGTGGGAGAAAGACGTCTTCATGCAGATGAAGACATGAAGCAAAGTGGTCAGAGTTACAGTTAAACTGCCGTTATTTACATCATCTTCAGATTTAGTACATGACGTGGCTCTTTTTCAGACTGCATCCCTCGTTAATCCTCTTTTACGCTATAGTTTTACACTGGTGCTGCCTCCAAACTGCTCCCTTGAAGGCAGCGGAGCAGTTTAAAGCCGGGGGACCTTGATTAAATAGTCAAGCTGCTGTGCAGAAGGTCAGTGCAACAGAAAGTAATCAGGAGATGTGACACTGGAGAGAATGACACAGCACTGTATGGTTGCTGAGTGCGGAGGTCTGAATCCAGTCTGCAGAATCAAATTAAGACAATTTCAAAACTTATTTTATCTTAACAGATTTTATTAATATTTCCAATTGACAGTATCAGCCAAAAACAATCATTGAAAATGAAAATCATATCATGGCAATGGGACAGAGGAGTTTTGATGGAATAAAAGGGCATCGGGACAATAAGAAGTGGAAAATTCAATATCGGTTCCATCACAGACTATAAATTCAATAAATTCCAAATAGAGCTGTCTGTTCTCTCTCTCTCTCTATATATATATTGTATCTAATGCAAAGTTGACAGAGGGGGATGGAAGGTCAATGAAGCTTGGGTCAAGGTTCAGGATTTATCAACTGGTCATTTCTGTGGAGTAAGGGGTTTTGGATTTTGGTCAGGAGTTGCAAGTCAGGCACAGCAGAGACGGGGATGAGGTCAGAAACGGTAAAGGACGCGGTCGGGAGAGTCGAGAAGGCAAAAAGCTAGAGGTTGTCAGAGAGGTCATGGTCTGGGTGGAGAGGGTCAGGCTGCAGAAAATGGGGGTTTTGAGAGAGAAGAGCTGTTGCGTGCTGCCAGTGCACTTATCATTCGTTCTGAAGATGCAACTTTAGGGGCGGGTTGGTAGGGACATGATGGGGAGGGGGAGGTGGGAGTGTCCGGCACATGCACCTGGTATACACTGCCAGGCAGCTGGAGGTGGAGGAGGGGTGGTCTCAGGAGAGCAGGACGGGGCAGACAGAGAAAATGATGATATGCAACGAGAGAGGAGAAAGTCACACGATGGGCTCCCTGCAGAGGACGATCTCCAGCTCGCCGCGGTAGAGCTTCCCTCCATCAGAGAGGCTCATGATGCTCTGCTTGTAGCCCGTCAGGTTCTTCAGGTCCACCTCCTGAAAACACACGGGGAGGTAACATGGAGGCAGCAAAGCTGATTAGTAATTTCTTGAATAACAAGCAAAGTTAATCCAGCTAAATATAACTCAAGCCTATGAAGGAAAAAACTAATCTCTCAGTCTGAGTTCATCAGGGTTGTGTTGAGCTCGTCCGACAGTTTGAGCTGTAGGGAGTAGGGGGTGGAGCCTGACTGCACCCATTGGTCGGAACTAGCCCCAACACACACGGTGCAAAATGGTCAATTTGATCATTTCTTCGAACTGGATTTGATTTGCTGCACAACAGGGAGCACTTTTATTATAAGTTAACATTATTTTGTCACGCTGGACATTGTTTGCATGTTTTAATGTCCTGTTCAACGAGATGTGTTTGAAATTAAAGATTTTGGTCATGAGGATTCATTATTTGCTGATGAGAAATGTTTGTGTTTGAGATTTTATAATCGCCGCTAACTGCCAGATACATTTTTCAGCCTCGTCCAGTGACGTTGTTTGCACAGAAAGTAAAAAGAGAACAAATGCATGTAAACTTTTTTCCAAAGCCCTCATCTCACCTTCTTGTTTGTCTGGTAAAGGTCTCGTAGCAGAGCATCTAACTCCTGCTCATCGATGTAGCCGTTCCCATCCTGAAAGAATCAGAACCAGACTGTGAGAACTGGAAAGATAATCAGATGCTCAGCCAATGAAACTGCGACACCGTGCACCAGCTATGTTTGGATTCTGAGCCTCTTGATTTTTTTGGTGCACTGCTCTGCTGCTTGACTCCATTCAATATTTCATGGCTGCCGTTATGAATGCACCGGCCAAATGGCCATTCATGAATAATGATTTAAAAAACGACTTCCCATTCACAGCTCTGTAGAGAGGGTTTGCTGTAAAGTGCAGCCACTCCGCTAATTAATGAGTTATGTGTCACATTGTGGAAAGTCTCAGTCCAGAATGTTGGAAATTTTCCTTTGGCAAGAGGCACAAGACCATGTTCTGTATCTAGGCTCAGTTTCAAGATGACTTCAGAGCTTCGCGTCTCGCCAGCTTTATTTTTTAACACTGTAGGAGCTCTGTGATGATTAGACGGAAGTCTCCTAGATCTTGGGAATAAAGGGAAAATTCTATTTATTTTCCCTTTAAGGATGAAAGACCCCGGCCACTGCAGAGTTTCAGGAAAACGCAGCGACATCAGGTACCAGCCAGTCTGTCCAAGTTGCACGCTATCTTGCATTTCAGACATTTTTCAAGGCCTCGCACAGTTTGGGGCGGTGGCACAGCAAGCACTGTGAGCCATGTCAGTGTTCAGCTGACCGGCCACAGTTCGGCCTGCGCACGATGTCTCAGCATCAGTGACGGCAGCTGCCTGCGTTTCAGCTGCAAGGGCTGAGCTCAGAACAAACTGATGAAACTAATTACACACATAAATGGTGGTGTGCTGTTCGCAGTGTCTACATGGATGGACTGGACCACTGGCTCATCCATAATTGAATATCCAACCCCGCCCTCTCGCAAGTGAGCAAGAGAGACTGCAAGCCCTCAGTCCAACGAGCCGCGACGTGAGCGCACGCAAACCCCCCCCCCACTGCTGTGAAGCTCTTTTCTGACTTCACGCTCTCCGACTTTTAATGCCAAGGCTCAAACAAGACCTGCAGAGAAAATGTTCTGTATTTATAAAGATCTTCTCTCGTCCTCATCACCGCTCAAAGATCTTCACAGTCACAGTTTATTGCCATTCACGCGTTAACACACACATTCATACAGTGCATCTGTGGGCAGCACTTTCTCTTTGAGGGAACACGGAAACTTCAGCATGCAAATGGGGAAGAACGGGATTGAACTTTCTGGTTAGTGGACGACCGCTCTACACCCTCAGCCACAGCTGCCTTTAAGGGAAACTGTCTTCGCTGCAGTGCACCAGTGGTTTGTGAGATTATTTATAAAAAAATTCAAATCAAATGAATGAAAATAAAAGAATTAGAGAAGGCATATTTTTCCATAACTGTCAAAAGTGTAGTTTCTGAAATTGAAAGCATGTGTTAGTTATGACCACGTTAAGTAGAGTGTCACCGACCTTATCATAGTATGTGAAGATGGCATTGAACTGCTCAGTGGTCAACTTGACACCCTGAAAGAACAAGATCGGATTTTCATTATCGGGCTCAGTCGCAATAAAACTCAGATGAATTGAAGTTAATCATTAATATTTAAACTCGGGGCAGCAGCACATTAATTGTAGATGTAATGTCACCAGTGACATTAATTATCAATGCAAACAAGCTATTTTCTGCTCGTTCTCTACCTGGAATTTGAGTAAGAAATTCTCCTGAACAGGAAGAAGCCTGCGGGGGGAGAGGGACTTCATTAGCGGACACAATAGCTGTTAAATTATTCAAATGCTTCTGCAGGCGATGTGTTTCAACATTTATACAGTGAGCAGAAGTGAGTGAAATTACCTGGCCATCTCTGACAGGCCCAGCTTCCCATCTCCATTCAGATCAAACATCCTGAGCTACAAAGTGGGAGCAGAACAGAGATAGGAACAGACAGACGAGAGAAACTGAAAGCATCTGGGTTTTAAGTTTATTTTTTTCTCACAGGTATATGCTGTCAAGATGAAGGAAAATGTGGTCCCGTGAATGTCAGCGACTGGGAAATAGAATGGACATCCATAATTCATCCACACTTTTTTTAACAGAGGACCAGTTGAGGCACTGTCCATAAAACTTGCATCAGACATTTCAGCCGATGAATGATGGTGAACTTTTACAGAACAGAGGTCTAATAGTTTTATATGAGAGTTTCATTTAAAATGAAAAATGATTTAATTACAGTTTTTAAACATTTAAAGTATAAAAAAATAAAATAGTGTGTTTCTTGCAAAAGCCAAAGCAATAAAACCCAGGTGTGAATTTTATAATCACATGTAGACTCGTGTATATATGTACAAATATTTGTTAGTATAACCTTCATCACCGTCATAATGTTAGCATGAGATATTCCAGATAGTACAATGGAAAAATATAGCTGTGTATATATGTTTTCTATGTTACACATCTGTGAAGAAGCATGTTGAGGAAACTGCTTCGGTAAATCAGGTCAGCTCTGGGGCTTCCAGGAAGAGGCAGATGTGAGCACATCTGGGCTGTAAACACCCGACCTGCAGGACACAGAGGGTCATGACCACTCAGCCGCACAGCGCTGCTGCCACCAACACGAAGAGCCTCTGAGATCCTGCACGCCAGATATGTACACCTCTCATAAAACCTACTCATGGCTCACAGTGCTTATAGGATTCCTCGGCTCCGCTGAGTTTTTATACATGAAGGAAATCATCGGAGGTGAAATTTAGTCTTAGAATTGAAATATACGCTGTTGGTTTTTGCTGATTTTTGGCAGGAAGTTTGTCTGAGAAGATGAAGCTGAATACACAATAAACATTTGAGTGCTGGGACGATCTAACAACAGCATCACCGCTGCAATGGAGTTCATCACCGGAGCTGAAACTGCTGATATCAGCAAGCAAGCTGCTGTTCCAAAAGCAAATAGTCCTCTCACCCTCTGGAGGCCAACGTACCAGAGTACCAGAGTCTGACTTTGCTTCTCCTGCGACTGGAAAATTCTTATTGTTTATTCGCTCCTTCCTTTGCTAGAAAACTCCTTAAAACCTCAAGATCGAATCGAAATGCACGGGCCACAAAGGTGAACAGCAATTTGGTTATTCATAGTACTTAAACTTACTTTGAGAGGTACAGATGCACATTAAGCAGCTTATTTGTGTGTTTTATCCTGACGTTACCGTCGTGAAACCCTGAAATACGATCTACAATCTCTGCTCCAGTTCACTACAATCCGGTGTGAAGGAGAGAACACAAATATTTTTCCTGTTCAACGGTAAATAGAATCTGGCTAAAACTAAATTTGAACTAAAATATGTCTGATCAACGTGTTAGTAGTAAAAATGTGTGGTTCTCCTGAGTATGAACGAGTCCATGTGTGAGTGTGAGTCTTACTATGGTCTGTGTGTACTCCTGCAGCTTCTGGTCGTCGTAGTGTCTGTTCGCCTTCTGCAGCAGGTCTGACAGGAAGCCCTGAGGACGGAGCAAGAAAAGACGTGAGCAGGAACATGCAGAGACACAGGCTACTTGAAGAATCACAACTTTGAAAGAGCTTTAATTAACGTGACGAGATCGAATTCAACAGCACCATCAGATCTCAAAGAGCTGACAGACGTATTCACATTTAGTAACGAACAGAGAAAGTCTCTGATGTCAGTTTTCAGTGAACAGAAACATCAATACTGTTCTTTACTTTACTATCTTCTTAATATTTAGAAAGTTTACAATAATGCAAGACAAAATTATGACAACAGAGGAAGAGCGAAAGGATGAAAGATAAGAAAAGGTCAGAAAATGAGTGCATTTGTTTCGTGTTTTGTATTTAAAAACCTAATCTGCAGAGTAAATGTAAGGCAGTAGAAAATATGTGGAGTATCTGAGTCAATGTACTCGAATATTTTCCACGTGCTCTCACAGTCGTCTGTGATTTGCATTTTCCCAAAGCTTTTTAAAAAGCCACACCTGAGTAACTCATCTGTATCTGGTCAGCTGGAAGAGATGCGATCCCATAACAACCGGAGCAGCCTAATCTGTACATGCAGAACCACTGACCCCATTAATGCTCGACTCCCCTGTGTGGAGCTTTTTCCTTAACGTGATTCGACACAACGTTTCCGGGAGGTGTTGAAGTGAATAATATTTGTGTGATCTGTGGAGCTTTTTTTGCATCTGAATCCTCACCTGAACAAAACTGGTCATTGGGGAATTTCCTGTGTTGCAGCCACTTAAGTCTCCTCTGTCAAAGCTGTTGTCTGGTTCTAAACCCGCCCTCACATATAAAACAAGGTGACGCACGGAAACCTCTCGGTGCAACACTGGACCTTTTTTAGCACAGATGCCACTCGATGGTCCTGACGGGGAAAATCCTGCAGCTGGGATTCAGTCACTTTCTTATGCTTAAAGAATCTTTGCAGTCAGATATGAAAATAAATGTGCAAGTGTCTTTTAAGAATCAATGCTCCTGGAAAAATGCTGATTCGCTTTCTTTGTTAAGGAGATTGATGCCACTGCACTGATGGAACGCTCCCAAAAGTCAAGCTAAAGAGAACAGGTCACAACCCCTGACTCCTCCATGTTCGTGGACGGGACAGAGTCCAAACCAATCTCAAGGATGCCTCGTGTCATCTTAGATCGTTCTGATCACGCTGGTGTTTGTTTAACTGTTCATTTTTCTGGTAATTTTGGTTTTTGATGCAATTTAAAAAAGGGTTTAAACGCCACGACTGGCAGCTGAGACTGAATCACGATTGGTTGAGCACGTGAATCAGCTGGACCTGACACATTTTACGTCTAAAGCAGAAGATGGCAGCACCTGTACCCGGGAAGACTATCAGTGTTCTCAGCTAATATTTGGCTGCAAAGTGAACACCAGTGTTTCCTATTTCTTTTCCTTTAAATATACAAACAGATTCAGGATTAGTATCATAGTGAGGAAGATACTCAGCATAGCACAAAACAATTGATCCATTTAGCCTCGTTCTTTCTTTTTTATTACTGCAAAACCACAGAACATCTAGTGGGTGTAGAAGAACAAGACTCACAGTTTGAATTACATGTAAATGAACTGAAAATGATTATATGAAAAAACATGGGATACAGTTTAAGTGGCTGCGCAACTGTTTGATTAGTCCTTTGGGAAAGTGGTAGAGAGTGTGATATGAGAGTGAATGTGCATGGGGGGGGGGAGACAAAACAAAATAAACATAAGTATGAGGACTTTTAAGAACAGATGAATAAATAGTGTGAATTAGAAAATAAATATGATTCATGACGTACCTTCAATTCATTTGCTTCAATATAACCACTGCGATCTGTATCATATCGCCGCCATGCCTGAAAGAAATCAAAAAACACTGGGCTGAATTCTCTCTGAAGACCCTTTCCTCCATCTTGATTTACCCCCCCCCCCCATGCATAAATTCCCTCTGATCGATCCCCAGCTCGCTCTTTAACCGTGCTAAGAGTTTGATTTTTCTCTCGTCCCAGAGGGGGGGACGACCACAAGAGTGCGGACCGTGGCTGCAATCACACGGTTTTCGATACAATCCCATCCGCCCACATACAGAGCGGAGGGCGAGAGACGGAGAGAGAAATGAGGGAGGGAGAGAAAGTCATTTTAATGAATGTTTTAATCTAGCAGCTGTCCCTGTCCAAAGGAGGGCTCCTTATCAAAGATGGATGGCCTTCCCCCTTCTCCTCCGCTCCTCCTCTGGGCTCTGCAGAGAGGCACTACAGTGGTACAGTGGTTATCCATTATATATGACTCTGAAAATAGAAAGTTCTGCTTCCTCATTCTAACCCTTTAATACCCTCTCTGCCCACCTCCTCCGCCCCGCACCCTTCGGCAAAGACTGATTAATCCCCAGCTCTTGTTTTATGTTCTCAAACTCCGGCTCTCTACTTCCCATCGACATTTCATTTACGTGCTCCCTGTTCCCGCGTTCTCCTGTTCGCACTTTGCATCCTTCTCTCTTTCCACAGCTTCTTTTCCATTTATCCTCCACCCCTCGTTTCATTATTCCCTCTAAGTTTGACACGGGAGACGAGGACAGCCTCTTCCCCGACATGTAATTGGTTTCTAATTGACTCCGTCCTTTCCACTGCAGCAGATCTAACACGAAATCTGCCATTTTCTTATCTTCTGAAGGCGTTTAGTGGAATAAATGGTTTTCCCGTTGCTGGTACCTTTCAGCTCTGCAAAGGGCTTTTTGTTACTCCAACGTTCATTCATTATTCATAATTCACAGCAGCACTGAACTTGTTTATGGTGCTCGAAGATTTTCATATAAAACCATTTCTTAGAGAAACAACTCTGTTGTTACGTAAGAGAATGAAGTGGGCATTGTTATTTTGTTTTTGTGAATTAAAATAGTCTGAGCTATTTATCGATTGACTCGTAAAAATCTGCCAATATGATCCCTTGAGCATTTATGTTTGCTGATGTGCAATAACATGAAAACAAATCAGTCATTTTGTGTTTTATATGTAAATAATATGTTTTCTCTAGTTTCTCTTTATTTACTTCCTGATATCAGTGTTAGCATCAGCCCAATAAAAATCCATCTCAGTGGCCAAACTGATTTGGTTGCTCAGCTAACTGCCACCGTCTTGTTTTAACATTTGACTCTGACACAGATGTTATCATTTCAGTATTGCACTGGATCAGTTTTCCCTGCAACTTTTCATTTGTTTCCTGCAAAACAGAAAGTGTGTGAAATGTTCCCATGAACTAGATTTTTACACATGTAGTTAGTATGTGATATAAATGACGATTCTGTCTAACAAAACCACTGATGCTGTTTGAACTATTGTTACCGATACTCTAACGCACATGCTTCTTTATGGATGTTAAACATCAGTATTATATACATTTACTAGCTTAAATTACACATCTACTGATTATATTTTTTTTTGTTGATGTAAAGTTAAAAAGCCTCTGTGGTAAAGGGAGCTCCTGTTTTCCACAGAAAACACATTAGTCAATACTTCTGGGGTTTTGTGATGTCACATGACATCAAGATGCTCGACATTCCCATAATGCACGGCTAGCAGCTAGTCTTGACACGCCCCCAAGCGGTAGTGGTTGACCAATCACAAAAGAATGGGTCAGCTGGCTTTATGGAGAGAGGGGTCTTAAAGAGACAGAAGCTAAAACCAAGTGTTTGAGACAGAGGCTGAAAAGAGGAGCTGCAGCAATGGACAGTCTGAGGACAAACCATAATTCCTCTATAGACCAGCAAACACATTTCATCTTTAGAGAACAATTTACAGCCTGAGTAATTAACACTGATTAGATGCTGAGCAAAAAAAACACTGCAGCTAAAATAAGCTGAAACAACAGGAGGGTTATTAACTGAAGGGATTGAAACCTCAGCTGTCCTTTTCCTCGTCTCGCTGCCGTCAAACATTATCGTTTTCTTCTGCTCGGCCACTTCTCCAGTTCACGACGGAGCAGGTGTTGTTGCTCGATTTCAAATGCTACTGCTACGTCTCAACAGCAGACACAGGCAACCTTGTGCAATGGAGGCATTGAGCGTGTGGTTTTCTCCAGTTAATTTCACTAATTAGTATCAGACCTTCAACCACAGACAGGGAACTAATCCGTGAAATTAGCTGGTAGGTACAAACGAGAACATGCAGGCTGTCAGCCCTCGCATGGTCGACTGGCTCCTGAACGAACGGCTCGTTAGAGCAAACCTGTCCTTACTACGTTTCACAGTGAACAAGAGGCTTTTGTGCAAGAAGTCAAAAAGTATCTCAAAGAACCAAATGAAATAACAGTTTGTTAATCGGGGGCAGCATCGCACCTTGCATTAGAAGAAACATACCGGTCCATCTAACCTCACTCAGAAACACACTTACCGCCATGAACTCAGCACTGGAGCTGACAAACTGTCTGAAGCACAGCAAGAAGTTCTCTTCAGTTGGGAGAATCTGGGCCAGCTGGAGAGACAAGTGACAGGGAAATGGAAGTGGTGAGGGCTCAAGATGGTGGAGTTAAAAAGCTGGGACAAAAAAAATGAGGCTGGGGAGCTTTTCGTCTGCAAAGCTTCAAATGGGCACCTCAGACATTAATAATAGAGAGACGTAACCTCAGTGGCAAGGCTATGCCTAAATTGGAATTCTTTTAAAAAACGATGTTTTCGGATGCTCTATATTGGATTTTTTTTTTTTTACAATAATTGAAGCTAAAACTAATTTGCAGATTTTGCCGGCTGGAGGTGGATTATTGATATTGCAGAAAATCCTCCTCTTTGCATCTCTTTCACATCTCACTCTGAAAATGGTGAAATCGAGGGAAAGCAATATCCCGAACTGACGCTCTACAGGGACGATGATAAAGACGGCTTTTATACCACCGATCAGAGTATTGATCGGGTTTCTGAATCCTCTCACTTGAGCTGTAGTCCTCTGGCTTTGTGAATCATCTTACTGTTTTCTTTTTATAACTTTTTCTCACCTTCCTCTAAAAGCAGAAAACACAAAGCTTTGCTTCAAGTCAGTTTTTTGGGTCTGAGTCACAGTTTAATGAAGTTAACATACAGTAATTTTACACAGTAAAATTACACATATAGAAAATCTTTAGAGCATGGCAGTGGCCCAAAGCAATTGCACAGATTGAAGTATGGAAACTGTATATGAGTAATATACATCTTATCATATTACTGCCAGCCGCAAAGTGTATTTGCCAAATTGTTAAGCTTTTCAATTTTGGAAGAGTATCGTTGTTTGCTTTATTTATAGTCTTTATGCTTCTGGGTGCTGGCCATGGAAGAGAGTGATATTAATCCTCTCATCTAACTCTGTTGAGTTAGATGAGAGGAAGCAACAAGCATAAATGCAAAAACTTTTCTTTTAAAGGTTCAGTGTGTAAGATTTAGGTGAAAAGGATCTATTGGCAGAAATTTAATATAAAATAATCCTAGTGATGTTTTCACTCGTGTGTTTCATCTAAATTGTACAAATGGTTGTTTTCTTTATATTGAAATACTTTATATTTACATCAGGAGCAGGTCCTCTCTACGAGACCGCCATGTTTTGTACAGTAGCTCAGACTCGACAAACTAAAAACCTTTTGAGGTTTTATGACGACTGAAGTTGCCACATGCAGGTTCTCCATGTTTTGAAGGGGAGGGTGAGGTGAGGGGTATTCAGCTGCAACATGACACTTCACCACTAGATGTCACTAAATTCTACACACTGAACCTTTAAAGAAAATAATTATATTAAAGCATAAAACACAAAGCTCCAGATCCTCACCTCCGACATCTCAATCCGTCCATCTTTGTTCTTATCAAACTTCTGCATGAACTCCTTCATCTTTTCTCTGAATGTGGGGTTTGAAGGGTCCTGGAAAAAGAATTGCAGCCAATACAAGTGAAGCCCGACTGGTCAGTGTGTGTGTGTGTGTTTGTGTGTGTGTGTGTGTGTGTGTGTTTTAAGTTATAGTCTCTAGACTTACCACCCCTGCTCCTCTCCGGGCCATCTCCAGCTCCCTGAAGAAGTTTTCCAGCTCCTTCCCCTCGATGTAGCCGTTACCTGGGAGACAAACAGGTCGTAACGCCATGTTGATCTTAGCTTTCACCACCAAGGGCTTTCATGAAAGCCCATTAACTCCGATGTGGTCGCAGTGTCAAACAGATCGCACTTTTGCCATTATCGATTCAAACATGAGCGTTTTAGCCGTAACTCTGTTTCTTTCCCCCTCTGGCTCAATAGATTAGACTATTGACTGACACGATGCAAACTGATCACTCCTCAAAGACTGGCTGCACTCACAGGGTTGCACGCAAGGAGAAGCTATATATGGAAAATTGCTTCTTTAGGATTCTGAAGGTGATGATCCACAAGCAGCTTCTTTTATTCCACAAAGATCAATAACGCAGTCAGAGGGGAGTTTGGCAAATGGGACTAATCGATATGGATGACAGTGTCTGCACTGGGAGAAACAACAGTGTGATGCCTAAAAGAAAAAGATTTTCAGACATGTTTATCTTTTTTTTTTTTTAAGCTAACATAAATTATGAAAGTGACAATGTTTTCTCAGAAACCGAAGCTTCCTCTTGTTTCACTGTGTGCTATCAATCATCCTGTCAGATTAGATCTTTGGATTCTGTGATGACAAATTCATCCTGTGGGCGATTTTCTCCTCGTCTCATTTTATCTTTATTCCTGGTGTTCGGGCGCCCTGACAGAACCTATTCAGAGGACCAATGAGTTGCGCTGGCTTCACCCAGGTAGTCTGTGGACTGGTGCCAATATTCTATCAACAAGCGTTTTGAACGGCCGGACAGATGGCTCCAAACGATGTAACTCGCTGCTTCAATAAAACCCTGGAAGGCAGAGCGGCCTCATTAAACACTAACAAAGATTATAATGCCACTTCCTCTCCGCTCCCTCTAACTGTGCCTCAGCTTCATATCTGAGTCCCTCTCTCCATCCTAGCAGCATCTTAACGTCTTTGTTCTAACCATGGACATTTTCATATGTGCAGTGTGTGTATGTGTGTGTGTGTGGGGGGGGGGGGGGGGGGGGGGGGGCTGCATGCACACTCCTCAGTGATATGATCAAAACCCATGAACACGAGCTGTGCTGTTTCAGTAAGTGGGACAGTCAAATGCCTCGCTGCTATCCAGCCTCCCTCCTGTGGGTTTTATTGACATTTCGCTCTCCGGAGAGCAAAGACCTGCTTGATAATTAAACAGAACAGAATGTGATTAACTACACGGGGAATGAGATAAACTGACAATAAAAATAGATTTATGACAGATTACAGGCCGGAGCGCTGTCGTTCGTTCAATAAATGCAGCGACTGTACAGCGCTCAGATTTGTGCATCTGTGTTTATTCACATGCAGCACGAGTTCTATATCACAACTTCATGCTTAAGGTTTGTGCTGCAGCCTAATTACTGTGTCCTTTGCTCCCAGACTGTCCACAGTCCAGGGATTGATCCTCTACAGTGAATATCAATGATGTTATATCGGTGGGTAGATGTGGGAAATCACTGCCAGTGGCTGCAGAGCTCCAAATTTATTCACCTCAAATTCACTTTAAACTACTTTTTTACGGGCTCCAGTCCCCAGCCACGCTTAACTAAAAAGGATAAGTGGTGTAGATAATGGATGGATGGATATACGTCTTAATGAGATGGCTCATTTCAACTTGCCTGCATATAATTCAGTCTCTCTGCACAGCCTCTTAAATCTTGCACCCGCTGCCAAAGTAAAAGCCTCACAAAACCACTTTTGGCACCCTCTTTGGGATACTGCGTCAGTCTCAGGAGATTTACTCTTCTGGTTCTGATTCTAAAGATCCGACATAGGAAACCGGGCAGCTGCACCAACTCATATTTCAAACCCTATATGAAGTGCATTTGCCTTTCAAAGCAGACTTCAGCCCTGTCTATTCAAATGTCTTGTGCTGGGATCAAAGTTGGGTCGATTCCAGGGGAAGATTTTGTGTCAATATTCCAAATTCCCACGTATTCAGGTTAATAAAAATAATTGACAGCAACTGTTCTATAATTAGCGAATGGAGCTGCAGTTGTTTCCTTTGGCAGCTTTGAAGTGACTGAATTGAAAAGGTTTGAACGGTGACGGCAGAGGAAGATGAGAGTGGAGGAGCTGCGAGAGAAGAGAGAGAGAGAGAGAGAGAGAGAGATGCAATCCAGATGAGATTTGATCCTGGGCCAACAGGGGAATATGTGGTTTCATCATGTGTGGGTGCATCGCCTCTTGTGTATTTTTATCTGCAACTCAGAGATGTTTACTTAATCTGAGCAAACAAATTAGTTCTCCTCTCCTGCTGCCCGAGACACCAGACACTCCCCGGATAATGAGCACAGGAATCACACACTCCAGCCAAATCAGTTGATGCACAGTGGGGTTGTATTTGGTTTGCAAAGCACGATATGTAAAACATGTCAGCGTTCGGGCTTAAAACCCTGGTTGGAACAGGACTGATGTCCACACACACACACACACACACACACACACACACACTGACCAAGAAACAGAGTTAAAAAACAGAAATGATAACTTATCTTTGTGGCTCTAAAGCCTCTGCACTCCTACCACCTCCTCATTCCACCTTGATTTCCCTGAGGAGCACGTTTCTGCATGTGTGCATCAAAAACAGATCCTGTTCACAATGAATTCCCAAGTGTGTGTGTGTTTGTGTGTTTGTGTGTTTGTGTGCGTGTGTGTGATACAGATGACTGCGACACATCCACACCTCGTTGGACATCTGGAGAAAGTTGAGTGAGCAAGCAGGACTGAGGATGTTTAATAACGACCAGTATGTCCCACATACTAACTCACTTTTCTGGCTGATGATGAATGGATATTTTAATTAGCCCGGCTGCAGCTGATAACTAATAAACCAGGGAGCTGGTTAACATTGTCAGTTTGATCTTATCTCCTAATTAAGTGGCCCCGCAAAGAGACCAGTGCTTGTCCTCCCTGCCTCTGATTCTGTAATAAGAGCCGATCATCACCGATTTGACGTTTTAACAAAAGGACGAGATGCTGGAAATAAAATAAGATGATTTTCTCTTTTCAAATTGTCCATTGTCCACACAAGTGTCTATTGTCCTCACTGTCCTGTCACTGTGACACAGACACGTGCACGCACAGATATTTGCAGAGTGAGACGTGAAGAACAGGATGTGCAAGAATCAATACAATAAGATGATCAAGATTGAGACCATATGGAAAGAGGGGGGAGAAATTAACACACGCAGAACATTTCATGACATTTCAACGACATCATAAATCCATAAATCCATTTTTGCAGCTCGGAGCCATCTGCAGCCGTGAGTCTTCACCTATCGATGGAGCTGCTCTTTGACTGGACACACATGTCAATAGCCCTGTGAGGAGCATCATTCTCAGCCAATTACTGATGAATACTGTCAGTGGTTATAGATGATTTAAACCCCCCAGAAAAAAAGTGATTAACTGGTGCAAACTAACACTTGAGTCGAGAGTCAAAATCAATTCAACAACAATAATAATCATATTAATAATGTTAATAATAATGTGCCTATTTGGATTTTTGCTTTTAACTTTATCATCTATCAAGTATAGAAGACATGAAGACAAACAATATTTTCATCAGTTACACACTTTATTATCCCTTTAAGGTACCTTGGGTAATTTCGAACTACCAATTAAGTTTACAGAAGCCCAGAAAATGATTCCCTTGCTTTAGAATGGACAGAATCGTGACTTTAAAATGTCAAAATCATAGTTTTGCTGTGAGGTTGTTCTTTATTATAAGACATCTTGATAGTCTAAAGGTTTTTGGAGTGTTTCAGATGCATATTTCAGCAGTGATCTTATTCATGTCTCGTGTTTTCTGAGTGTGGACGAACTTTAGAGAGAAAGAGAGAATCGTACCGTCATTGTCGAAGTGTTTCCAGATGTCCAGGAACTGGGACGCGGTGACCTCCGCCAGGTGCAGGTGAGGAGGCTGCTGGGCTTTGTTGGCCATGATGCTGCTGCTGCTGCTGCAGGTTCACAATCCCGCTGATAACTTTTCTGTGTCTCCTGGTTCGAACGCACCCACACTGGAGCCCCGGCGCACCGCCCGCCGCTTTTAACCCCGCACACGAGCTGCACCGACCCGGCACCGCCAGTGGGGGCGCACTGCCCCAGAGAGACTCCATCTATCCGAGTCAGCGTCCCTGTCCTGTTGTGCGTGTGAGTGTGCGTGTGTGTGTGT